TCATTATCCTTTCTTTATTTGACTATATCCTATATCCTACATTTTCCCCCTAATAATCAAAACTGTGTCTAATTTAGTTCTTTTTTATTGTTATTATTATTATTAACCTTTATATATAGTCCAAAAGGATTTCTAGCCTTCCCTTCACGGGTATCATTCAATATTCATATCCAATTATTGCTTATCATAACACTACACATTGTATACATTACTATCATTATCAATTTTTATTTATCTATACCTATTGTCACTAAATTTAACTAGGTTTAGCTAGACAGAGCAGTTTTCTGGTCTGTGTTGTCGCGCTGAGCCATTGTTGTGGTTTTACTTACACCTTGATTTATGGCACATGCTGGCTTTTTTGCTTTTCCTTTGAGATGTTAAGAGTGTGCTTATGACCCCCTGAGATTTTCAGACAGCTGCAAAGGAGAGGTATGTGCTCCATGACCTGGAAAACATCTGTAGCCGTTGCCACGGCTGTCATTCATGGACATACGGAATGTCTTAAGAGCTGAGGGATTTTTTTTCTTATCGCTGAATCCCCAGGCTTCCCGTCGAAGTAAAGTCCGATGGGCCGGCACCCGAACGCGTGGCCGATGGAGGTACTCGAGCAACGACGACAGCGAAGGTTCTGAGCGTGAAGGTGACTCCGAGGAAGAGAAGGAGGAGGAAGAGGAGGAGGAGGAAGAGGAGGAGGAAGAACCAGCTCCTGCGGACGATGACGAACCGTGCAAGAAGTGTGGCCTTCCTAACCACCCAGAGCTGGTAGGTTCTTCGATCAAAGTTAGAAAATCAGATTCACAAAGGCCTCCAGAGAAATACTGTGGTGTTATTGCTGGTCTGCCATGCTTTCGTCCAGGAGCATCCAATCTTTTAAGACTTGTGGACTTCAACTCCCAGAATTCTCCAGCCGGCATCGGAATTAGTTTGAACATGCTGGGTGGGACAGAATCATCTGTCATTTGTGGCAAGGGGGTCATTAGAGAAATCAAACCAACCAATCAATTCCAGAGTGGCCCATATACTGCCTAGATCAGGGGGGGTCAGCATGGATTTATTCAAGGGCTGGAGCAGCATTGTTGTTCTCTGGGGAGGGAGGGGAAGGGAGAGATGGGACAGATGCCTCCTGCAGCACCCGACTGGGCAAAATGGCACGGGGAAGCAGGTGTGGACACCCTCTCTCCCCCCCCACCCATGCCCCGTTTTCAGCCTGGACAGCCTGCCCAACCCTCTCGGCCAAAACGAGGCGCCGTTTTGCCGTGATTCCCTTAACGGTGGCAAGGAAGGTCGTAAAATGGGGCAAAACCTCCTTAACAAACATCTCACTTAATGACAAAAGTTTAGTGCTGCCTTGTCCTAAGTTGTGGACTTAACTGCATTGTCACGCTGCCTTTTTTGTGAGCCAAAGGAACATCAGGATTTTTATCACGGGATCTGGTTTTGAAACCTAAGAGAACAAGATGCGTTTTTGGATTTATTTATTTTTTTATTTATTTATTTATTTAAAAAAAGACAGAAAAATCCATGTTGGAACCAGAGGTCAGGCTGACGGTTTGATTTTTTCCCCAGATACTTTTGTGCGATTCCTGCGACAGCGGCTACCACACGGCGTGTCTCCGGCCTCCGCTGATGATCATTCCAGATGGCGAGTGGTTTTGCCCCCCTTGTCAACACGTGAGTTTTCGTTTGGATTTATTTTCCTTATTCTGCTCCTTTGCCTTTTAGAAGTGATGGGATGGTTCATCCTGTTCAAACCTAGGCTTCCCAAAAGCACGAAGCCGACTCCTCATCCTGATAAAACCCCTTTTATTTAGGTTAAAGGGAATTCCTCTCCAGCAAAGTCCCGGCNGGCGCGGTTTAGTCAAGTGCGGTTTTGACAGGTCACGGCTGCAAGGAGGTGTCAGAGTTTGCAGCAGCAATCACATTCAGAAAGCACACACAAGTCACTGATTCAGCAGGATTCAATAACTTCTCTTTATATCTAATATAACACATGGAAGTAAAATACGCAATACCAAAAGCAGGTTTTCCAACGTGGTAGTTCAGCAGAGGAGAGAAGTCTTACTTTCAGTTTTAGTATCAGATATCAGCACAGCAGGCAGCTTTAGTACAGAAGAAGCCACGCCCAGGCTCCTTGTTGTCTCCTTCTTGCTCACACAGCAGATACTGTTTGTTTCCAAACAGCCTTCAACTCTCTCACACACTGACAGGACGCTAGCCGGATGAATACAATGGATGCCAGGAGGCAGAGGCAGATTTTTCTTATTATTATTTTCCTCCCCAAAAACTAAGATGCATCTTATACTCTGAAAAATACGGTAAATGGGTTTTCTCTGTTAGCAATGTGGGTAGTCCTCGACCGCCAACATTTTGCTTGGTGGCCATTCAAAGTTAACAACGGCACCAAAAAAAAGTCACTTACAACCATTTTTCACAGTTACAACCGTTACAGCATTCCCTTGGCACATGAGCAAAATTCAGACACCTGGCAACTGGTTCGTATTTATGACCGTTGCTGTGTCCCAAGATCAGGTGATCCCCTTTTGGGATGTTCTGACTATTGTGGCCCGCCAGTGGAGCTGGCAGCAGAGTCAGACAGTGAGGAGGTTGGGGTGGAATATGGGCCAGTCCTGGAGTCTGGGGAAGGCTCTGAGGAGGGCTCTGTGTTGGAGGCAGAGAGGGGGCCTTAGGCGTAAAAGCCAGGTGGGAGACTTTGGGCCAATCACCAGGAGACAGTAAGTTCTAGACCCGACTGACAGCAAACTGGGTGACTCTTGGCCAATCACCGGTAAGCTGTGACTTCTAATCCCGTTTTAGGTATGAAAGCTGACTGGTGACTTTGGGCCAGTCTTAGTCCAACTTACCTCACAGGGTTGTTGTTGTCGTCAGGAAAATAGGAAGAGGAAGGAGTCTTCCGTATGGTCACCACCTTAAGTTATTGATGATGATAATAATAATAATAAAGGCAGGATATAGTAGAAATAACTCAATACATTAAAAAGACCAATCATGCAGCTTCACGTAGCACTAGGAGACAGAGGAGTTTTCTTTTTTT